ATCTGAGTGCAAATGGTCAAGCAGAGTCAACAAACAAAATGATTATACAAAACCTCAAGAAAAGGTTAGAAGCGGCTAAAGGTAAATGGACCGAGGAATTACCCGGAGTTTTATGGGCATGTCGAACAACGGCCAAATCGAGCACAAGAGAAACTCTTTTTTCCCTTGTGTACAGGGCAGAAACCTTAATCCCGGTGGAAGTAGGGGAACCTACCTTGAGATATTTCCAAGTATATGAAGAATCAAACAATGAAGCAATGTTAGTCAACTTGGAGCTACTCGATGAGCGCAGGGACTTGGCGCATGTAAGAATGGCAGCCCAAAAGCAGAGAATGGAACGATATTATAATCGAAGTGCCAACCTCCATTATTTCAAAGTAGGAGACTTGGTCCTAAGGAAAGTAACTCAAAACATCGGGAGCTCAACAGGGAATCTAGGTCCAACATAGGAAGGCCCCTACTGGGTTTCAACTGTCACCGGGAAAGTTTCATATGAATTGAAGAATCAAAATGGAGAAAAGTTGCCCATCAACTGGAATGTGGCACACCTCAAAAGATATTATTGCTGACGAACAACACTTTAACTGAAAGTATGTGCTGTACTCTTTCTGGAGCACCGTAAACATAAGAGGGCCCTCTCTTATAAAAACCCTCACATTAAAGGGTTGGATTCGGAAGAATTTATGCCCGGAATTAAAACACCTACGGGGAAAAATACACCCGAAGCCTTACACGAAAATATGCAAAGAGCAAACTTGCACAAATACTTATAAAAATTTCACGTTAAAGGGTTGATTTTGGACGAATTTGTGCCCGAAATACAGATGCTTTTGGGAAAAAATACACCCAAGGCCTTGTATAATCAGACGCAAATAGTAAAACTTGCACAAAACACTTAAGAAAAAAGGAATGCAAAGGTTGAAACTTGCAAACGAAAGAACGTAGAGAGACTCATGCAAAAAAGATGTTTTATTTACAATAAACATGCCAAAAATAGCACAAGTACAAAGGTTGGGAAAAGAATGAAAAAGATAAATTGCTGCCTCTCCGGAACCCGTAGGAAGAGAAGTGTCCGCGCCCCTAGAGGGAGTAGCTAGGTAGATCCGCCGATGGCTCAACATTTTGGCCTTCATCATTTGGGCCCTCAGCGCCATCATTTTCTGATTTTTCTTCAGTTCCCGAGAACTCAGAATCGGAACCAGAAGGACCGACAACATCAGGCCCTGCCGGGAGACTACTTTTAGCAGGTAACTCAAGCTCACGGGCCTTAAAAATTTTGGTATCAAAGTCAATGATACCAGCTTTGGCCTCTTCCAAGGATTTTCTCCTCATGCTGTACATAGCGTAAGTTTTCTCAATAATGAGGGAAGCCGCTCGGTGCTTAAGTTCTTCTTTGAGTTGGGTTGCCTCGGCAGAAAGGTTTTTCTGACCGGATCTAATGGACTTGAGGCTAATGTCAAGATCACGGACGGTAGAGCTGAAAATTCTATTATGCTCAATGGTCCTTTTATGCTTCTCCTCCAATTGGGCATACTTTATGCCCGTAGCAGCAAGCTCTTCAGTCTTGGAATTCAAGGCTGCCTCTAAGTCGGTCAATCTTTCAGCGGAGGCAGCCTCACGATCGAATGCAGCAAGAACGACATTATGAACTTCAACCCATTTGGCCTTAGCCTCTTCAAATTAGACCTTTAGCGGGGTGATCTCATGCCTAAATATTTCCACTTCTTGCGCTTTGATTCAAACGAGCATCCAATACAACGACCTCAGTGGCTTTGGCTTCCAGTTTTGAGAGACGAGCGACACTTTGCTCCCGCTCTGCCAAAAGCTGATCCCGTGCGGAGATGATTTCTTCCTTCTCACGAATCAACCTCTGAAGGCCCTCGGAAGCAAGAAAGTTGGCCTATAAAGCAAGAAAGGCAAAACTCAGGATATGTTTATGAAAAAATAGAAGAAATAACAAAGGAAGTAATGAATGTACCGCTGCGGCATTGTGTATGGAGTTGTTCAACAAGCACTCTCCCGAGAGTGCCTGAATCTTTTCCAAATCTTTCTTTGATGCCAAAGGCTTCAAGTAATTAGCAAGTTCCACCGGCTGGGATAGCAAATTGCATCCGATAGAGACCCAAATAGTTACGTTCCCCCTCCTTTGTGGATCTTCAGAAGGGGCAGCATAATTTTACTCCAAATTCCCATGAACTGGGGACTGGGAAGAGGAACACCTTCTTCTTGGTCAGGTACGACCGATGGAGATGATGTAGCAGTTGCTGATGTAAGAGTTGGTGAAGGAGATGAAGCTGATGGAGGTAAAGAATGAGAAACAGCTGCGAGGAACGCAATTCTGGTTGTTGTTTGCTCATCAACCGAAGACGGCACGGGCCGGATACTCAGCCTCGTGATAACAGGCGCAATGACTGGGATCGGGCAATGAGAGTTGGCTTCTCTACCATTTCAAACTCCCCCTAGAGCGTCGAGACATCGTCCTCGATTGGTGTAACAAACTCAACAGGTTGAGCATCCTGTTGTGATGATAAGGATCGTCGTCTTCTATGTAGAGAAGCTCCCTCATCACTAGCTTCTCCATTATCATCGATCATCACGGTGTCTATGACCGACCCAGGAGAAGGGCTAGTCAGCACAACTTCCGGATATGACTTGGGGGAAACAATCTTCCTCAGGCACGATAATCGAGCCCGCGGGTAGACCTGATTTCAGAAAAAAAGGTAGAAGGTACCAATCAATTTCTTCACGTAAAAAACTGAAACAAGGTAAGTCTAAGTTACCATGGTTTTTGGCCTTCCACCCATATTTGAGGGCCAATTCTTTCCATGTACGGGTTTCAGACGTAGTAACACCCAAGATTCTCTGGACCTACCGGTCCAAGCCCTCAACCCTAGGTGGAATCCATCGAGTTGCTGAAACAAGCAAAAAATGGAGGGTCAATACGAGTATAAAATAATCTCTAATGAAAGGAATAATGGACAAGGAACCTACGAGTGCGGTTCCATGATCCCGGAAAAGATGAAACTGTTACCAGAATGATGTCATAGGTGGAAACAGCAACAAACCGTTCCATCTACCCACGGTCCTTGTCATCATCCATGCTAGATAATAGAGCATGGTGGCCGCATTTGCTGAAGTTTATCATTACCCCGCAGAAGATTTTGGGGGAATATAGATTCATCACATGAGCTAAAGATAGCTCTTCTCCCGTCTCTTGGCACAATCGCCGAACAAACAATCGTCCTCCACACAGAAGGACTTACTTGTGCCAAACATACCTGTAGCGGAGGCAGAACTCCGCAATAACAGAGTCAAGATCTCCACTCAAAGAGAACACACCCAAAATAAAGGGGTACGTGTAAAAATATGTAAAACCCTTCCTGGGTAAGGTTACCCGCTCTGTTAGATCAGGAGCAACAATGTCCAAATCATGGCTGCCGCAATCTTGATTCACAATGGAAATACTGGAAGGACGGATGGAAGAAGGGTATCTGCCAACAGCCCACATGCGAGGATTAACCGAAGGGAATTTCTCTTCGAATCTTTTGTTGTAACAAGACATCTATGCTTTGCTCTTGCCCTTTGAAGAGCTGACGTTCTTTGAAGAAGAAGCCATTTGGATGAAAGAAAAGCTTGTTTGTTTAACTTATCATGCTTCTCTCTCTCTTCTCTCTTGGTGCACGTTAAGCGTGCTTTGCTAACAAGCACTAATCGAAAATGGGAGAGGACGACCAAAACGGACTGCGACAAAGGTTCAATTAGCTGAGTTCATTGCATCAGGAAGTCGAAATGAAAGTTTGGGAAGAGTTCCAGTACAAACAAAAACCTTAGGATGCAAAAAGGGAAAAAAATCGGTAGTGCCTAATTCTGGAGGATCTAGTGCCATGAAGACAAATTCACCAACTAATCTAGGAAATTAGAGTCCTAGTATGATGAATTCCACACCTAAATCTTCTGGTGTGGTGATGTGGGAAGCCCAGCAACAGCAACTGTTCCATTGCCTACTATAGCGAGAGGAGTGAGCATGCAAAATGATAAGCTTACGACAATGAAAGGAGCACTCACTCAAGAGACCATTGGCAGTACAAGCAAATCAATCCAATTGGAGGATCAAAAAGGAAAGGAACAAAGTATTACCAGTGCACAAATTCAGGAGAAGGAAAAGTCAGATTCTGGGAAGGGTGAGAAAACTTGGGCAAATTTGTTTACTAGTAACGGGATGGCTGCAAGGGGAATGGATCCAGTGTTCATACCTCCTATGATTCAAGATGGAGTCAGGAAGGTCCAATTACAGTAGGACGAGATGGAGGCTAAAAATACAAAATGGAAGAAGGCTGTTATACTGTATGTTATTGGGGATTCTCCATCAATAGGAGCCATGTAGAGGTTTATAACCGCATAATGGAATTCTGCTGCTAAATTCCATTGTTGCTAAACCAAAAAGCTATTATCATAATGAGAGGTATTTTGTTATACTGTTCAATACCATTGAAGACAAAAATGAGGTGCTGTACTCAGGGCCACACACCATGGGAACGAAGCCAATAATACTGAAGTCATGGTCAGCTGGTTTTAATTTTTATGATGAAGTCCTAAAGACTATACCATTGTGGGGCAGCTTCCCAAATTTTCCATTGAATTGCTGGGGAATGCTTACTCTGAGTCGAATTGTAAGCGGTTTGCGCTGCCCTATATACGCTAATGAGTGCACAACTAGTACCGCAAGGATCTCTTATTCTAGAGTCCTCATTGAAATGGATATTACTAAAGATCTACCAAAGAGCATTATCGTGCAGGACCCATTGGGGAAGGAATTTGAACAGATGGTGGAGTATGGTTTGGTGCCACAATACTGCAATAAATGTCTAATGGTTGGACATAATTGCAATGGAGCACAAGGCGTAGCTGAGGCAGATAGAAAAATCCAATAGGAAGAGCAACAACAACGAAGGGCAGAAGTAATAAAGCAACGGGACAAAGCTTACAATTTAGGCACAAAAATGCAACATGCAAGGAATATAAAGCCAACAGTCCAATGGGTTGCAAGAGGACCAATTAAACAGGCTGAAAAGGACACGGGCAAGCAAGCACTTCAAGTTCAGCAGAGTGAGCCACAAATACTAGAGTATGACCAACAGGCAGAAAGCAAAAGGAAGGGGAGGACAACCAAGCCCATCTCACACAAAATGGGCTGATGATGATGATCCCCAAAGTAGCATAGGAGCAGATGTAGAAGAAGGACCACCCCATCCTAACTCTACATGAAGATAGCTACTTAGAATGTGAGGGGTTTCAATAAGATATATAAGCAAAAGGAGATGAAGTTGTTTTTGCAAGTTAATAAGATTAGTCTTATAGCAATAGTTGAACAAAGAGTACAAGAAAATAAGGCAAAGGAAGTTATAAATAAATGCGCAGCTCGGTGGAACTGGTGCTCCAATATTGCATCCAAATGGCAGAGGGAGGATATGGATCGTTTGGGATCCAAATAGTAGTTAGTTTATTATGCTGCAGGACCATACACAATTCATACATGGGATAGTTATAGTACTAATTCTAGCACTCAGTTTGCTTTTACTACTATCTACGGACTACATACAATTGCCCATCGATGTGCTTTGCGGGATGCACTAAGGGATTTGGACCCACAGATAAATAGCCCCTGGCTAATCATGGGAGATTTTAATGCAATTCTGGATATCGATGAGAGGGTGAATGGTACTGTAGTGCAGGAAAATGAAGTTAAGGACTTCAGGGCTTTGATGGAAGACTGCAGATTGACTGAACTTGCAACTATGGGAAGGTCATATACATGGATAAACAACCATGTATACAGTAGAATAAATAGAGCATTTGTTAATGTACACTGGATGTTGAATATGCCACTAATACAAGTTAATGTGATGGATCCTCATTTCTTAGATAATTCTCCATCATGTATAGAACTGGAAACAACAATGGGCAGCAGGAGGAAACCGTTCAAATTCTACAAATGTTTAGCTAATCATCCAGAATTTGGAACTATAGTGCAGGAAGGTTGGTATAACAGGGAAGGAAGCATGAGGAGCATTTGGAAAAAATTAAAAAGTATGAAGGCTGCTCTTAAAGGGCTTAACAGGAAGGAATTTGAAGATACGACCAAAAAGGTTCAGCAATTAGAGGAGCAACTAGCTAGCATACAAGCTTAGATGAGGAACACTACATCACCTTCTGATATGTTTGAGACCGAAAAGATCACTAGACAACAGTTGGAAAAATGGAGCATGGTAGAGGAAAGCATATACAAGCAAAGATCAAGAGTTCAATGGCTTAAGTTAAGTGATTGTAACACAACATTCTTCTTTGCTAGTATGAAAGGAATAATTTCACAGAACCAGCTTGAAATGCTCACAGCTGATGATGTAAGCTTGATCAAAACAACATAAAGCATTGAACAGGAAGTAGTGGGTTTCTATAGAAGATTACTAGGAAATTCAACTAAGAGTATGCCTGCTATTAATTCTAGTATAATGAGGAAAGGTCAAGGATTGGCAAGATCTCAACAACTACAACTCATCTCCCCTTTCAGTAAAGATGTTGTATTACAAGCATTGCAGGGGATAGGAGATTCAAAGGCTCCAGGAGGGGATGGATTTAATGCCTACTTCTATAAGAAGGCTTGACATTTAATTGGAGAGGATGTTCCAGAAGCTGTACTGAAATTCTTTAATAAGTGTTCTATGTACAAGCCAATAAATATTACCTCAATCACGCTGATCCCCAAAGTGAAGAATCCTTCTTCCATCAAGCAGTATCGACCGATTTCATGTTGCACTATTTTGTACAAAATTATCTCCAAGATGATCACAAGCCGGTTGCAACTAGTGATGAATTCCTTAATTAACAAGAGTCAAGCAACATTTGTGCCAGGAAGAGTGTTGAATGATAATATCTTACTAGGGCATAAACTTGTAAAAGGATATGGCATGAAAGGGGTCTCACCCAGGTGTATGCTCAAGATTGATATGCAGAAAGCATATGATTCTTTAGAATGAGGGTTTCTTGAACAAGTTCTCACATTTTATTGAATGTTCCAGAACAATTCCTAACATGGATCATAACATGTATCACCATAGTGTCTTATTCTATTGTTATAAATGGCAAGCCACCAACTCTCTTTGATTCCAAAAGAGGAGTCAGGCAAGGGGATCCACTGTCGCCATATCTTTTTGTCCTGGCCATGGAATACTGGACCAGGATCTTAGAGACTTTAAAGGAAAGGTCTGATTTTGACTATCATCCTAGATGTGAGAAGCTGAACATAGTGTAACTCAGCTTTGCAAATGATTTGCTGTTGTTTTGTAGAGGTGATGTGGTGTCCATTAAATCTATGAGTGTTTTCAACACTTTTCCAGCTCCTCAGGATTGATTGCAAATCAAGATAAAAGTTGTATCTACTTTGGAGGGGTACCGGTGGATGTTCAGCATCAGATTACTCAATGCATAGACTTCTCCACATGCACACTACCATTCGGATACTTGGGGGTTCAATTAAGTACCAAAAGACTATCTGTAGCTCATTGTCAGCCCCTACTGGACAAGATGCTTACCAAAGTTAAACATTGGACAACATATATTTTATCTTATGCAGAAAGGTTACAATTGATGAAAAGTGTTGTGATTGCCATTCAATGCTTTTGGTCACAAATCTTTCCTCTACCAAAGAAGATTATTTTAAATATTGAGACCATTTGCAAGAGGTTTCTTTGGACAGGTGAAACAGAAGGTAGTAGGAAGGCACTGGTAGCCTGGAAACAACTGTGTTGGCCAAAGTCTGCAGGTGGATTGAACATCACTGATATCCTTGCGTGGAATAAAGCAGCAATCATTAAGCAACTATGGAATTTATGTAAGAAGAAGGATCGTCTATGGATACAGTAGATGCATACGTATTATATAAAGCAGCATGTGGCATGAAATGTAAATGTGAAACAAGCCTCTTGGCTCACTCGGAAAATATTAGGTGCTTCAAAATATCCAGCTGAAGCAAATATAGGAGTGGAGAAGGTGATGAATGCGAGAACTACTCCATCAAAGACATATATAATAAGCTTAGAGGAGAGTTTTCTAAAGCTGAGTGGAGGAGACTAGTATGCAATAACAACAATAGTCCTAAATGGGTCTTTATCTTTTATCTTGCAATTCTGGGTAAACTATACACAAGAGACATGCTTAGCACTTGGGGGGGTATTAGCCAATCCATCCTGCTCGTTACGTGAAGGAGGTACAGAGGATCATGAACATTTATTCTTCAGATACGCCTACTCAACAACACTATGGAGGAAACTATTATGTTGGATTGGTGTAAAAAGAGACACGACTGGATGGAGTGAAGAGGTAAAATGGGCTATAGAGCATGCAACAGCTAGGCATCCATCAGCAACTATATACAGAATGCTCCTAACTTGTATTATATACCATATATAGCAAGAAAGGAATTGGAGAACTTTTCGCAGGTAACAGAGGAGAAGTGAGGAAATTGTCAAAAACCATAGTTCAAGAGATCCACTGTCGAGGAAGCTTGAGACCTAGCTTAGCTAAAATGCTTCAAGAATTAAATTTTTATCCTTAGCGAGTCTATACTTAGTTTTGGTGCTACTTAGTTTCGATGTTCCTAGGTTTGGGGCTGCATGTCCAAACCTGGGCTGATAGAGAAAGGGTTTTTTGTTTATACTTGTAAATATTTTCCTCGGTAATAAAATACTAATTACCAAAAAAAAAGCTTTTTTTGTTTGAAAGGAGTTAAAGAACAGAAAGAAGATCTTAGAAAGCTTGAAAAATTATGGAGTATAAATGGAGAAGGTTGATGCGTATAAGTAAGAGTTTTGGCAGCTAAACTCATGGCCATGATTACCTCGATAATTAGCCAAAGCTATGCTGAATCGTGGGATGACGCGTGTTCGAGGCATTAAATGCGGAGAGACGTGCGTCTAATCAACCGTTAGAAACCTTAAGAGGGAATCATAGTAATTTCCACCAAAAGAGTGTTTCTACCAACTTCCCGGTGACACAAAGCTATGTCACTGGAAAGTAGGGGGACTATCTGTATATGGTAAAATTTTCTATACCAGGTGGTCGCTCAAAAGAATGACACGTGGAACCGAATGCATTTATCCCGTTTGGCACTGTGAGGAATGACACTCATAAAGAGGCAATAAATACCTCCCGTCCGATGACATTAATGAAAAATATTCCACGACATTAAGTGCACTGCCTGTTATAAGGAATTTATTATTTACGTTCACCGTTACATCTTCATCAATGGACCTCATAATTGACATTAAAGAAGGGCACGATCCTAGGACCTTGTTCCCTAGACATAGCTATAAATAGTGAGCTCTGTTATCATTGTAAAGGACACGAATTTTCTGGCAAATCGATATTACAATCTATTCAAAGCTCTATACAATTTTATCTTTTTATTTTCTGTTATTATTACTGTTGCATCTGGAGGCTTCGCTACCGGAATCTTTATTTCTGTCATTTCGTCTTCATATCAAGGCTAAGTATTATATATTTCTTCAATTATTTTATTATTTTAGGACCGAATTAATTTACTTATCTAAAAACCACATATAAATTCAACTGCACTGTTTTACGGGTAAACAAAAGTGTAAGCTAGATTTAATAAGCTAAAAAAGTAGAGCTAAGTGACGGCTCCTTCATAGCCATTTTTTCCTAAAATTAATTAAAAGATTTTTGAGTAAACGTGGTGGAGTTTGAACAGCGAAACAAGTTGCACAAGCTTGACCTATTATATTTTAATGTAATTAGAATATATCTTTATTTAATCCGAAGATTTTTAAACGAAGAATATCGTATATAATGTGATTAGTATATTTCTTTATTCAATTTAATGTGTTTCTTGTTCTATATAAAACTGAATTAAAAAACTGCGTAATTTTTTTCCTTCTAAAATTGTAAATGCGGAAATAGATGTTAGCTTGAAAATCATCGTAATCCGATGCTTTGTGGTGACTGGAGTAGACTAGTTTTAAACCACTGTCTCAGGGTAGCCTTCGAAAAAGTTCTAACTATGCCAGCCACAATCATTATTGATTCATCTGGGTCCCCAAATTTAAAACTAAGATTACAATTCTTTAGCCGTTTTCTAAAAACTAATTTCTTGGCATGTTTTTAAATGCACATGTTAGTATGCACAAAATTCACCTGTAATAAACGAAAGATGCATGTCCAAATCATAGTTATTCAAAACGTCCAAGAATCCTTGGCAAAGGTTATATAGAAAGTAAAACCATTCATACCTTCTTTTCTGTTTTCTCTTATTTTCTTAAAACCGTTGTTTCAAGGCTAGCTTATGCGGGCTTCAACAGTTATACGCAATTTTTACCTTTAAATTTCTACATCATGAATTATTTGTACCTTAATTACTAATTAAATAATCATTATCCATACGTCCTTTACTCGAGACCTTAAAACCAGGAGCTCCCAATTTTTTTTACTTTGGTCAACAAAACCAGTACAACCTATTATTAGGTTCTCAATAGACAAAAATTGAAACAAAAGAAAGATATACTAGATTCACACGAAACAATGAAACTAAGAAAGCATGTATCAAAATCATTTTTTTTTCCTCAAAATTTTCATCCTATCCAGAAATTTATGGTTCTTAATCAATGCAATAAATTTTATTATATTGATCAGAGTGCGTAAATGGCATCCGATTGTAAACTAAGCAACATAAGTGTAGGGCTTTGAATTACGATGCTAAATTTTATTATATTGATATGAGTCCGTAAATGGCATCCGATTTATAAACTAAACAACAATAACTAACGCATATGATATATTATAACAACTACAAACAATAACATAAAAAACAAACTTAGCAGATAAAGAGAATCCATTAGTTTGAAGTCATAAAGCATTACAGAAAGAATAAACTAACCTTAAATGAAGGTTTGTTTCTGTATGGGCAAAAAACTTCATTTTATGTGTTTGACCTAGCCAGCGACGATAAAGCCTTTGAAGACTGTGATGTGTCAACCTGACCCCGAAAGGTCGAGGTCAGGTGAGGAAAATAAATCGTTGTCAAGGTCGAGATGATTTAACAAAAGACGAGGACGAGGATGAGCATTCGCCCTTAGTACGAAGTGATGACTAGCTTTAGAATTTAGATTCCTTTGAG